CCGGTCCATGGCACTCGGAACTATACCTACATGGACGTCGTCCGTGCTCATTTAGGTGAAAATTAATTAAATTTCATTTTGCACCTTATTTTAATTACTATACTTGTAAATTCTTTTTTAATTAATTAATTAGTTAGGTAACTTAACTTATTAACCTCAATATAATCTCACTTCTTATTATGCTATTTTTTCTGTCTGTTGGAATAAAACTGCAAAAACACCAGATCTGGATCTTGTAGTTTTTATTTTATGTTTTATATATTTATTTATTGACTTGGGCCATTGACAACCTCTCATTTCTGAGCAATCTTATTGAAGGATAATAAGAAACATAGTAATTTATTCATCATAATTCTACAAGATAACGGTGCTTTTTTTTTATTTCATAATTTGTTCATATATCCAACAAATTGAAATTTTAAAGTAAAAATAAAAATAAAAATAAAAATAAAAATAAAAAAAAAAAAAGTTGAAGCGTGCTCTAATTTCAGCTGGCTAAGCATGCTTTATTGAATTTAATGTATCATCCCGTGTTAAAATAGAATTAAACCGGTCAATTCTCATGTGGGCTAATAATAATCATAGTGTACCGCAATATTTGACCTCTGTCGTTTCTTTATCTTTTTTTCATTTAATACAATAAAAAAAGTTTCGAATTTAATTTCTCCTCGATTATAGCAATCTCTCACTAAATAGAATTACTATATTCGATAATAAATATATTATTTATTATTATTAAATAGAACTTTAGTCATATTTCATTAAATTCTGATAATTATTTGCAGGTGGATTGAAAGTCCAGCTGTGTGGACTGGCACAGTACGGCAATTTGGTGGGCATCACAATTGGATACACAATAACGGCATCCATCAGTATAGTGTGAGCTACTAACTACAACATAATATTGTTACTCGTTACGGAATCATTTCATCAGGAGTTATAATTGTTGGATATAAACGCGTGTAGTTAGTATAAGATAGATTATCTAACAGTCAAAACACCATACAAGATGGTTCCGTAACGAAATCATAAAATTTTCAATAAATAAAATATAGTTAGTGTCATAAAAATAATGAATTTTTTGTGAATTTTAATTGTTAGGGCTGTGAGGAGGTCAAATTGCTTCCACAAGGAGGGGCACAATGCGGCGTGCGAGGTGGCCAACTACCCGTACATGGGGCTGTTTGCGGGCATTCAGATTATTCTGAGCCAAATACCAAATTTTCACGAGCTTTCGTGGCTGTCGATCATGGCGGCCGTTATGTCCTTCGCTTACTCCACCATCGGCTTAGGTCTCTCCATAGCCAAAGTTGCAGGTACATTAATTTATCCATAACATATTTATATAGTTTCTTTCAAATTTGGAATTTTTTTTCCGGGTCACGTTGGCGGCCCAAACCCTCGGGTCGACTCGGTAGACGGGATCCGGGTTCCTTGGCATTGTTCCTTGGCTCGATTCCGAATTAGTCGGTTCTCCTGTGGATTCGGAAACCGAAAGGTCCCTGTACCAAAAAAAAAAAAATTTGAGCAGTTGCCCTTTACATATAGTCGGGTCGGATTCGGGCACTTATATATATATATTATTTTTTTCCTAGGATAAAAAATAATTTTTGTACTTGAGAGGGTGATTTAGTAAACGGGTTGGTTAGTCATGTACGACTTTTTGGTGACCCTTTAATTTGCAATAAGTGGACTAAAGTGGACTAATGTTGAAAATTAGCCATATTATGCTGCAAATTGCAAGACTTTGAGGGACCATCATCGCAAAAAAAATCACAATCTTGCTTTAAAAAAAAAAAAAACCTTTTTAATGCGCATCACTTTCGTTTATTCTTATCCAATCAAATTTATATTTCTTTATACTTTTATTTTCTTTTAATAATACTAGTTTAATAATAATATTTGTGTTGTAAATTAAAAATAATAATAATAATAATAATAAGGCGGTGATCGTGCGAGGACAAGCCTAACGGGGACAACGGTAGGCGTGGACGTGTCCGCAGCGGATAAGGTGTGGAGAAGCTTCCAAGCCATAGGAGATATTGCCTTTGCCTATGCTTACTCTACTGTGCTCATAGAAATCCAGGCAAGCAACCCCTTTTTCTTTCTTTTTTTCTTTACAGGAACCTTTCGGTTTCTGGATCTACAGGGAACCGACTAATTCGAAATATCAAATTTATTAAATCATTCAAGATAAGAATATAGGAATTATATAATTAATTGAAAAATATTTAATTGAAATAATTATATTATATTATCATTATATTATTATTATTATTATTATTATTATTGTATTTAAATTGCATGTTGTCTATTTCAATTATTGAACATAGAGTCGTAACTCGGAAGCATATGTTTCGTGAATATAAATTCTACAATAATGATAAAACCTTACGTATAAAATTGCTGTTCACGGGCCTATCTTAAATTCGTCGCATAATAAAAACCAAGAAAAGAAGATGCCAAATGAGGAAAAAAAAAATGTCACTTTTTTGCAACATGTAAGAAGTGACTTTAATTAGGTTTGATTCTTTTTTTCCCTTTCAACGGAAGAAAAATTCCAAGTCCTAATTTGCAGGTGAAATTTAAGCAAAACACTAATTATGGGGTCCATCAATTTGAATTGTTAATTTACTACCCCACTTCATTCATCATCATAATTGTAATAATAACTAGTAAAACACTCATGTATTACACAGGTGTTTGTTAAAAAAATATTCTTAAATATAAAGATAAATATAATTTATTATTTTTTATACACACAATACGCATGTTAAATCGAATTTCATCAATAAAAAATTATTTTTAAATTTTAGAATTAATGAGAAAGCTATAAAAATTTAGTTTACTTTTTTTACAAAAAAAATATGTTACTCTATATTTTAGAATGATATGTGTTACTTATGACTTACATGTGTTATAGGAGTATTATATTAGTTTTTATAACTTGTATCATATAAATATAAATATATTAGTTGATAAATAATTTTATTTTTCTAACTAATATTAAAAATATTTTTATTATTATTACAAAGATAAATATAAATTATTTTTTTTATACATACAATATGGATGTTAAATCGAAGCTCATCAAAAGACGATTAATTTGATATATTACATATGTAAAACTGATAAAAAATACAAATGTTATTAACTTTTAAAATATATATACAATTCAATAGTTATAATAAGGAATGATATTGCAATGCAATTAATAAATTTAACATGGCCATAAATAATCAACATATTTATGGTAATCCGAACTTAATTATTTTTTGTTTGAAATTAAATTAAAATTTATCCAAACCTAATAACGAAGCATGTAATTTTGCCATATAGGATTCCGAAGCACCAGAAGAAGCCACGTAGGCTCAGCGCGTTCTGAATTAATATATAGGGGAGGGGATGTAAAAATGATATTATTAATATATGTAACATGACCATTAATAGTCAACATATTTTTAGATAATTCGAACCTAATTGTTTTTGAATTGGAAGTAAAATTAAAATATATCAAAACTTAATAACGGAGTATGTAATTTTGTCACATAGAATCTCAAAACATACGAGACCACTACTTAAACTCATCACGTTCTGAATTAATATATAAGATATAATAATAGATATATAAAGAATTTAATATATATGATGGTATAAATAGCAAAAGTCTTCATTTGCAGTTTCATATCAAGATAAAGGTGCTTTGACGCTAGAAAAAAAAAAATTGGCTTGCTGTATATTTATTTCTATATATGTGGGTGTGTGAGAGTAAAATGGACCACCACTTACCTTTTTTCTTTTGTTATTAATGTATTGTTATTTGAAAGCATCACATGTCTGCTCTTTTTTTCATTATTCGTTGGACATAAAAGAAGAGTAACTTTTTGGTTTGTACTGTTGACCTTTAAATTTGCGGCGGATATGAGAAGCTTTGTTCAATTAGTGGCGGCCAAGTGGCCAAACACCTTTGACTCCTTTCTTAGAATCACCGATTGTGGGATTAATACGGTCCCGTTACGAAATTATTCGTCGAGTTTGTAATCGTTAGATCATCATATAATCGTTAGAGATAATTGATCTAACGGTTATAAATCTCGACGGAATGGTTCGTAACGAGACCGTAACATCACCCAATGAATATAGTAAACTTCTAATAGGTAATAGTTGCTAGTTAATTAAAAATATGAGATCATGAACAATATTTCTATTGGTAAACATGTAGTGATATGAATATGTGGTTTAGTTAATGAATCTGTCGTTTCCAAAAAAAAAAAAAAAACATGTAGTGATGATCAAATATTAATTTTTGAAATTGATCTAATTAGATATGATTAATTGCGATTGATTATTTGCACGCTTTATCAATAAAAGCTCAGTATTCGGTATAAAGCCTGATGAATTAACGTGCGTAATCTTTTAGGACACGTTAAAATCACATCCGCCGGAGAACAAAGTGATGAAAAGGGCTTCATTTGTTGGGGTATCAACGACAACCTTATTTTACGTGCTTTGCGGTTGCGTGGGCTATGCTGCTTTCGGAAACGACGCGCCTGGAAATTTCCTCACTGGATTCGGATTTTACGAGCCCTATTGGCTCATCGACTTTGCCAACGTTTGCATTGCAATCCACCTAATTGGTGCTTATCAGGTAACCTATGTGGATAACAAAATTATATAATGCACCATTTTAGCATAAATCTAACATAATCTTCTTTTTTTTTCATTTAAAGAAAAATCATCACATATTGTACACTTTCATTTTTCTTAATTTTGATGAATTGTACATTCTTGAGAATTATTTTATAATTTCATAATAGGTTTTCGCGCAACCGATATTCGGATTTGTGGAGAGCTGGTGCACCAGAAAATGGCCCGATAACAAATTCATCACGGCCGAGCACTCATTGTTGAACACCTCCTATACCATCAACATGTTCAGGCTCGTGTGGCGCACGGTCTACGTTGTGATCACTTCCTTGTTTGCCATGATTTTCCCCTTTTTCAACGACTTCTTAGGCTTGATCGGGGCCGCCTCGTTCTATCCTTTGACTGTCTATTTCCCGATCGAGATGCACATTGCCCAAGCAAAGATACCCAAATACTCCTTCACATGGATTTGGCTCAAGGTTCTGAGCTGGGCTTGTTTGATTGTGTCAATTGTGGCAGCTGCTGGCTCTATACAAGGGCTTGCACATGATGTCAAGAAATACAAGCCTTTCAAAACTATGTAGTTTCTTTTTATTTATTTTTTTACAAGTGTTTTCTTTTTGTAATGTCTGTTTTAATTTTGGGTGGACAAGCGCATGTTGTAGCTTTATATATAGGTCATGAGGTTTGTAATACGTCTGGCTGTCTTTTGTAATTTTAAAATAATAGTTTGTGCCAACTTAAATGAAACGCAAGTCAAGTGTAAGTCATCATAGTGTACCGCAATATTTGACCTTTGTCTTTTCTTTTTATCTTTTTTCATTTAATACAGCAATAAGTTTCGAAATTTAAGGCTTGATTGTTTATAAATTATTTTCTCTCTTTTATTTCATACTCAAAATTTAACTCAAATTTAATTTAACTCCATTATTTTTAATATTATTTATATAATTAAATATTACAAATAATCATTCAGTACAAATCACATCAACTTTAATTCACTATTCATCCACTCACATAATTTTAACTACCTATCTTTTTCAATCATTTATCTCTTACTTTTACATCAAATCAATTTTAATCATTCTATTTTAAATATTATTGATATGGGATATTGTACACCAAACTAGTTCGTAGGATCAACCTAATAAAATGGGTTACCAGTCTGGTCGAGTCGAACACTCATAGCAAGGGGAAGGAGTCGAAGATAAAGACGAGTGGGTTCAGTAGCATCAGGCAATTACCTGCTTCACCGGGCTCTGGTCGAGGAAAGGGATGGTCGAATAAAGGTGGTCGTGAAATCGACCGTTTTGTACCTTAGGGACAACTCAGTGACCATCCCAAGCTTGGTCGAACATCAGAATACATGAGAGGATCTCCAGCACGTGAAAGGAGGACACGCGGCGCACAACGAGTGGTTCAGGGTGATAACGACCTCTGACATTCCCTGACACATTATGACGCGTTTTCTGACACCAGGCTAGTGGAGGCGGGTGATTACGTCCAGGCAGTGAGAATAACCAGCTCGACTCGCCTGGGCAGCGCGTGGAGACATGTAACTCATCCCTACAAATAGGAATGAGATCTCTTGTTTTAAGCACAATCTCTCATACACTTACATACTTACACATATATTCATCTTCTCAAGGCTGACTTGAGCGTTGGAGGATCTTCACCGGAAAATTCCTCCAATGTGAGAGTTTTCTTGCAGGTTACGGCGTTCTACAGGCGAGGAAGGCGAGCTCGAAGCGGTTCTTGGTCGGTTGGGCGTTACACTTGTATTAATTATTTTAATACATTCTTAAAATTCTACTAACGACTAATCATACCACTTTTTTCAAAATTAATTATAATTAACCAAAATAACTCATTTTGAACAAATTATTTCATAAACAATCAAGGCCTTAATTTCTCCTCGGTTATAGCAACCTATCACTAATTCGATATCCAATATTAAATAGGACTTTAGTCATTTTCATTAAATTCTAATAATTGTTATTGCTTATTTCCATTTTGCACACTTTTTATCAATAAAAGCTAAAGATATGAAGATTTACTTATGTGTACGTGATCAGTATTTTCTATAAGAATTTTAGTGATGAATTAGCGTACGTCATCTTTTAGGCCAAGTTAAATAAAAGCTAAAAATATGAGATTTACTTTTGTTTGCGTGATCAATATTGTCTATAAGAATTTTAGTGATGAATTAACGTATGTAATCTTTTAGGCCAAGTTAAAATCACTTCCATCGGAGAACAAAGTGATGAAAAGGGCTTCATTTGTTGGGGTATCGACGTCGACAACCTTATTTTACGTGTTTTGTGGTTGTCTGGGCTATGCTGCTTTTGGAAATGACTCACCTGGAAATTTCCTCACTGGATTAAGATTTTACGAGCCCTATTGGCTAATCGACTTTGCCAATGTTTGCATTGCAATCCACCTAATTGATGCTTTTTTCTGCATTATTCGTCCGACATAAAAGCAGAGTCAATTTTTTGGTTTGTACTATTGACCTTCAAACTAGTGTGTAGCTCGTGCGATGCACGGGTAAAATTATCTAATATTCTATGTGAAGCGTAATTCTCATTCAACA